GGACACAGACACAGCGCTGACTCACGACTTACTTTCTTTCGTGAGTCAGCGCTGTGTCTGTGGCCCTTCTTCTACTTGACCTTGTGTTCGTTTGCGCTGTTTTATTTCTATGTTTACAATGCATCACCGACTAGCCCACCTCCAAACATTACTGCAGTCTACTGTCTCCTCAAGATCCTAGCGACTCTGCGCGTAACAACGTCGGAAGCTGAGCGCTCGTCCTTTTCACTACGACGGTTGGAAACATACCTGAGAGCGTCCAGTTCGAATGAGCGACTCTTGTGTGTTTGAATGTTCACCGCGACATTGAAGTTCAAGTGGTAGACATCCTGGATATTCTTTGCCGTGAACGCCGGCGGCTGTATCTTAAAATGTAGGCGCTTGGCACAAACGAAACGGTCAAGAGAGCCTGTATATTGCTTTCTGACATAACTAGTCACAGTTACTTTTTTTATTCACGATAATTTCGAGTCGAAAGCACGTAATTCTGATCAATACACAAGGTATGCCTTGAGCGCAGCGCCACCCGTTGCTTCTTATAGCGCCATTGTTTTTACAATTCATTTAATATTCCAACATCACTGACATTGTTTTACATTATCGCCATGTGTGCGCTTTATTATGTCCACTTTAGTTTGATTTAACCACGTATTTCAGTGAGCATAGTTTCTTATACTTAGCCTTGAAATTGCCATCCTTCACCCCACAAACATTTATATATCTGAGATCAAGCTCCGCATCCCATCAAATAAACATGAATGAAGAAATATTGACTATTTTCTACCTCACAAACAGTCCTCCCGAAAGCATACAAGTTGGAGATAGTCCGCGCGCCCCCTTTGCTCCGTGCGCCGTGCAAGAACGACTGCGTAAGCAGGGTAACGAGCGGGCCCACACCGGGGGCACCGCGTAAAGGGAGGGGGAGGGGGGGGGGGGGGGTTCGATCCCCGAACCCCCCCCCCCCCCCTTTCTGCCTACGCCACTGCTTCGCACGCTTGGACACCGACCAAGAATCGACGCCGTGTGGATGTGCTTTGCGAGTGCAATGTACGTGAAGGTACAACTCGTCGAAAGCAAGTGTCGCCGGTCTCCCGGCGTGATCAAAGCTTCCTTGGCACGCCGAGTGTTGCATCTTTGTGCCTTCGCACGCTTGGATACCGATCAAGAATCGACGCCGCACCAAAGTTCTGAACGTGTGTCGCGCGTAGATGCCTTTAGATCATTTATACACCAACTAATGTTTACAAACAAACCGGAGCGTTCCTAGTGGGCGCCACCGGCGCCGCGCATGCGCGATGGCGGTGTGGGCAAGAAGCTCGCCGTCGCCCATAGACAAACCATTGAAATGCGATGTTATCGGCGTTTGTGTGAGTCCCCCTGCCCTTTTTCGCGTTCGAATTGTTGATTCTACGTCTTCCTGGCAATGTCTGACTACCTGAGCGGCCCCAGCGAAATTAACAAGGCTCGTTGCACCGCAAAACTCCGCGTCAATAATGTAACATGCGGCGATTCATTCCGCGTGGACGCCGCAGAATGTACGCTAAAGCCTGATTCACATTATGAGATTTCGCTCGCAATTTTCAGTCGCAACGTCGCTCGGGCTGCAAAAGCGCGAACCGTAGCTGAGATGGTCGACGTCGATATTGAAAATCTAAAGCAGAATCGGACCATGCCAATCAGGCTTAGCAAGTCGGTGATGGTCCCTGGTAAAAATGATCAACGTCTCCTTGTATCTGCTGTTTACATCGAGCCTGCTTACCAACCTTCAAATTTAAGGCTTTTGAGGCGTGCACTTACTTCTTATCGCAAGTACCGGGCCAAGATTTGGTCTACGGGCCGGCGTCGTCTAAAGGCCCGTTCACACTCTTGCGACCGAGTGCGACCGAGTACGACTGAGAGAGAAGAGAGCAGACGACAAGCAGAAACGTTTGAAAGAGCAGACGGCAATTTCAATTCGAACGATCAGGTGGCTGTTTGAACTTGAAGACGCACTGAACGTAGTCGGCAGGTGGTCCGCACAACTTGACGGTTTTCTGGCATTCATGTTGGAACAAAACAAATAAATCTGATGACCACAAGTATCCGTGAATTCAACCCAAAGTGCTTCTCGCCCAAGCAATCGTTGTCCGACGGCGTCTGCTTTTCCCTTTTCACGGCACATATCCATAATCTCGGACGAACCGAGCACGTGAAAACTGACCCTCAAACCTTTCTCGACACTTTTGGTACGGCCCCAGTGACGGCGTTTTGACGAGAAGGCAAATTTTTGTCTCGTTCCTTTCAAAACAACGCAGGAATGCACGTCTGGCATGGGGACTTGACTTCTGCCCTTCTGCCTGCTTCTGCCTGCTTCTGCCCACAGCTCCAGACCGGAAGTGCGACCGACACGCCACCACCGCGCCGTGACGTAACAGAGATGAGTTTTTTTTTTTTGAAGCTTAAAGGACACATGCAAAGGAAAAAAACATTTTTTTAAACGGCTTAGATGGAAAAAGGACGCCATAAAACGATTTTACAATGAAGAAAAAAATGTTTAGAGCTATATTTACGGCGCAAAACCTATGCGCAAAACGAATTTGTAGTTGGCGCCCGCGGGCACCGCGGAAAAGTGGTCCGTATTTATCACGTGACTGGTCCTTATTTATCACGTGGTGCTTTCGTTCTTTCGGAAGCTTCCTATGGCCTCTAAAAGTAACTTATTCATCTTTGTTTGAAGTATAACAAAAACTAAGACGAATAAGTAACTTCTAGAGCCCAATGGAAACTCCTGAAAAAGCGCAAGCAGACGTGATAGACCTGTGCGCCGGTCAGACGACGGCGGCGGCGCCCCGAAGCAGACGAACTTGTGCGGCGGCGGCGACGGCGGCGTGGAGAAACGCGTTGAGGCGGCGTTCGCACAACGCTCAGCGTGCGACGGCGACGCAGCGCGGCTCCCGCGTGACCCTACCACGTGACCAGCGGCGGCTCCCGCGAGCGCCAACTACAAATTCATATAGCGCCGTAAATATAGCTCTAAAAATTTTTTTTCTTCGTTGTAAAATCGTTTTATGACATCCTTTTCCCATCTAAGCTGTCTAAAAAAAATGTTTTTTTCCTTTGCATGTGTCCTTTAACAGAATTTTTAAAAAGAAACCATGAATGCTAGATGAATGCGGTCTGCGCAGGTGAGTTATACAGTCAGGGGGACATAATAGGAGGATAATCGTAACCATCAGTCAGCTAATTAGTTAAAATTGGTTAATTAACTTTTTAATTAATGAAAATAGACATATAGTTTCAATTAGAAACTTGCTCAGCGTCATCGAAAACAGCTAAATCAGTATTTTTCAGAAAGACTTTGAACGCGTGAGAAGCGTAGTTGCGCACTAAAGTTACCGCTCGTGGAGCAGGTACAAGGCTGGGGCTATAGACCTTTCCATCGCTTATCGCCCAGGCGAAAAATGTCGAGTCACTGGACTGTTACGCAGGCGCGGCGTACTATTTTTTCGCAAGAGGCGCTATTGCGCGTGCTCAGAAGGCGTTTAACAGTCCAGTAAGAAAAGATGGCAGCTCGCAGAAGGCGTTTGTTGGAAAGGTCTATATAAGACACGGAAAAATCGCGCGGGCGCCTTATCGCAACCGCTAGCTTTGTACGTGCTCCACGAGTGCTAACTTTAATGCACTACTACGCTTCTCACGCGCTCAAAATCTTTATGCAAATGACTGATTTAGGGGTTTTCGATGACGCCCAGCAAGTTTCTAATTGAAACTATGTGCCTATTTTCATTAATTAAAAAGTTAATTACCGAATTTTAACTAATTAGCCGACTGATTGTTACTATTATTCTCTACTATTATGTCCCCCTGGCCGTATAACTCACCTGCGCAGACCGCATTAATCTAGCTTTCATGGTTTCTTTTTTAAAAATTCTGTTAAGCTTAAAAAAAAAAAAAAAAAAACACCCAGTATATATATCGGCCACGGAGTTCTGGATCGTCTAGCTGTTCCGGTGATTTGCTATCAATAAAGGGGGGGGGGGGGGGTACTAGACGACGAGAATGAAAATCTTTAAAGCGCGGCCTATATGGTCGTGTGCAATCTGTTGACCAATCACAATTAGGCGAGCCGCGCTCAAACGTCAAGCGCAATTAAGTAAGTTGATAATGAGCCAGCGCTGATCAGTGATGAGGAGCTGTTTTGCGCAGTATTCTGTAAATTGTCTAAGGACGAAAAAAAAAAAAAGACGCTCCTTCCCCCTCTCTTCCGTCACTACTGGACGCTGGATTAAGGTCGTTTGTGGAACGTCAGAGCAAATTAAGACGCGGATCCAGGGGTACATACGGCTTCACGTACATTTCACTCGCAAAACATATTAACACGGCGTCGATTCTTGAAAGGTATCAGGCGTGCGAAGGCACGAAGACACGGCACTTCGGTGTGCCGAGAAAGCTTTGAACAGCCCGCCAGACCGTTTAAAACCTGCTTTCGACGAGTTGTGCCTTTTTCCTACGGCACTGCGCTTTCGTAGAAATTTCCACGTGTTCTCAACGGCAAGTATCACGCCTCACCCAGGATCTTAAAGTACGTTTTCGGCGAATGATGACGCACGAGTAGAAAACGTGTCTTTAGCACGCTGCCGCCAACCTCTGCAACACTAGCAAAAAAAAAAAAAAAAAAGGCATGCAAGATGGCCGTCCGGTGGCCGCACTCGCGCTGCAGTGAACAAGCGGGGATGCGCGATCCAGAAATTGTCATTGAGATCAGTGGTTCACTGGCTTATTTAAACAAATATTCTTATTTACGAATAGCGCTCGAAAACACCCTGCACGCCACCAGTCACTAGGCCTAGTGTCGGTTTCGGTTTTCTCTCTTTGTCTCTTCCGAGAACGCTTCGGACCTTGCACATTTCTAGAAACTGAGGGACATATTCTTAACACTTGAGATTCGTTTAAGAGCCTTGAGAAGTTTTCGTTTGCCTATATAGGTTGAACTGAGCCGACCACACTAAACTCTCACCGAAGCCATCACCGCCATCACCATCGCCATTACCTCTCGCAGCTCTCGCGTCGAAGTCGTGCTTGTCAATCTGTCAGGAACAGCTGTGTTGTCGTCTTTCATATTTATTTTCATTTGCCGTTTCAAAGCACCAACATGACTTCGTATCGCGTAGGTATTCTTCCTCTCGAATTAGATCTGAAATCTAAGAGGCCAGCCTTCAGCATCCTTGAACGATTAATCTCTCTTCGCACTTTCGAGGACGCTCGGGTCCGCGTTCCTAACGGTGCTTTGCGTACTCATGTTGTGGTTACACGGGGTACAAAAGCCGAGAGTAAAAATATTTGAAGTTCAACGGTGCTACTTGCTGGCCTCGTGCATAACTGCATGCAAGTGGAAGCATGGGTGCTTGCGTGTTGAGACGCGGTGATTCAGTCACTAGTGCTTTGGTTCATGTTGAGTGCTGCTTCCCTTCTAGACACCTAACACGCCGGTGGATTCGAAGAAAGAAGAATTCAGGAAATACCTGGAGAAAAGTGGATTGTTCGACGCTCTAACTAAAGGTAATCATAATACGGGACGACTACGGCTTGTCAAGTAAAGAGGGCTGGCGACTCAAGATCTCCTGCAAAACCTTCAAACATAGCTAGACTTAGCACCCGCTTATACTGTAGGAATACGTTTTAGTTGTTGAGTAGTCACTCTAAAACTTCATGCCGTATTTGGGGTTCCCGGAAATCAATATGAAAACCTGTGTCGGGATGACAGGTGGAACACTATACTCCGTTTGACTTAATGTTGTACCGCAGCGAAGGCTAGAGGCGCGAGCTTAGAGCGTTGGCAGCTGCCCTTAATGCACGAGAGCTTGTGCCACCGAGATGCGCCCTAGAGCAAGGAGCTCGCGCTTGTAGCCTTCCCTGCGGTACATCATAGGGTGAAATAGAGTATAGCCACCAATCATGCGTCCCGTGAAAAAAAATGTCAAGTGATCACATTTGAATCAGAGTCAAAAACCTGTTCTGACAGGCTTACTTAAAGCTTAAAGTGCAAGCGTATGCTACAAATGTGTGCTAGGTGGTGCCATTGTTTTTACACAGTGTGAGGGGTCTACTGTTCGACCTGCACTTTTATGGCTTTTGAAGCCACTTAAAGGTATCACCATTTTAGCTTTCATAATAAACATGGCACTGATTGAAAAATACTTGAATTTTGCTCTTCACAGTATCCAGTAGTTTGCATCCGGGGGTACAAGCGTACCTTGTAATCATTTTCAGATAATTTCATCTTCCTTTGAAGAGATCTGAAATTGATTTTCTGATAAAATGTGCATACATGTAGTGTGTACTGGCATCAAAAGACCTTGTGCTAAATTACTCAAGTGCCAAAGCACATGTTTCGAGTGTAGTTGCATGTGCCACAGATGCTGGTGTCTGCAGCAGTAAAATTTCTAAAGCGAAAATCCAGAACAAATGATATGAAAGAACTTCTGGTCGTTCTTTACATCTACGGCAAACTTTTATAAAGATAGACATCGGAGCTAGACGAAACGGTCAAAGTTGAATACTCTGTTCCTTGTGAAATTGCGATCTCTTTGTTTTCTTTTCTTCGGTACGCTCGGGTCCCTGTCCTCTATAGGAAAAGAGCGGACATAACTCAAGCCCCGACCAGGGTGCCCCTAGTGGAAAACAGATCATTTTCATCGGTAGGTCCTTTTTAGTCGCTGCACTCAGACTGCAGTCGCTCAAGTTTTGCGCCACAGGAAAAAAATTGCAGAATTTGTAAGATTCTTAGAGCCCGACATAATGATGACAGGCACACTAGGCCCACGCAGTTAGTCACAATTGCTTCCCGACGAGTAGGCGCGAACAACCGCTGGGTGGCAGCGAACAATTGGAGAGCCTGTATTACAGAGAATTTCCAACCGCTCGATTGGGGTCACATGGTTTATGGGCCATGTTTCCAATACGATCTACAGGTGATGAACGTGTTGGTCGTCTGCGAGCGCCTCCGCCTTTGCGCCTGCTTTCCTCCTAGCCGCACAATAATGCAGCGTATGAGCACTTGCGACCAATCTCCGACGGAGGCGTCCGCCAGAGGCTCCCCACGGTTCAAGTTGGACCCTCCCTACCACCTAGGCTCTCTACAAACAATAGGCGACAGAGGCGATGCCCCTGGCGTGTTCCTTTCCCTTTGCGGCGACTTCATCCTCTTTGTAGTTTTCCATAATGTTTTTAACGTGGCAGTTTGCACATACGTTTGTCGGCACCTCATTTTGGTTATTTACTTGGAATGTTTGAAGCAGACAAGTCGTGCGCTTGCGGCATGTACCTCTGTTCTGTTGTCTACATACCCTGTACTGGTGATTTCTTTTATCGAATGCATAACTCCCACAATGTTCTCTTCAAATGTGGAAGCTTCTAAGTAAGCGATTGGTTCGACCGGTTCACACTAAGTCCGACCGCGGCCAGTGCTACACTCCGATGAGGCCAATCAAGCCGCGCCAAAAGTGCGTTGTCGCGGCTGTCGTCATCTTTGTTCGTTTGTTGTCACCGGTCGAACCAATCGCATGCAGTGGATGCGCTATGATCCTACGCTTTTTTCAGTGTGCATTAGGTTTAGCAGGTGATAGAAGACAAACAAAGACGGCGATCATCGTGATGATACACTTTTGATGCTTCTTGATTGGCTCCATCCCAATGTTGTGTTGGCTGAAACTGATTGGCTCCATCCCAATGTTGTGTTGTTTGAAACTGAGTGTAGTATGGTGAAAGAGTGTCGAGTGAGAGTTTAAATTTATCAGAAACAATCTCGAGTCCAGTAACATGTTTTTGTAAATGACTGGAGCAGGTAGTGCCATTAAAACGTCTGACATCGCTGCCTGGCCCTTTCAGCACTTGTGAACCTCTTTGACAAGCCCGAGCGGCCTGAAAATGCGGTGGCGTATCCTTTTTGTTGAACGGCTCGGAAGTGTCTGGTCGGAACGGACATGTGGCAGGGTCGTGCACCTTAACGTCGAGCTCTAGCTACCTCAAGGCATGCCTGGACGCCGACGGACCCGAGGAAGATGCGGCCACACTGAAGCGCCAGCTGGATGAGACGATAAAGAAGCTTGAGGCCCTGCAGCTAGAGCACGACGAACTCAGGTCCCAGGTAATCGCTCGCCTCGAAGACAGTTTTTTCCATGTAGGCACTGTAGTCGGTAATAGGTTAAAAAGCTAGTAGGTGCTTCGCCTTTGATAACGAGCTTTCCGCCTTTGATAACGCTTGGTCGCTCGCACAGCCGATGACCGGTGGAAGGCAACGAGCGCTTTCTGGTGGAGGAGCGTCACCTGGGTTCTTGGGCTGCCGCCGACATAGGGTATTTTTGCGCCCAGCCTATAGAGGGTATTGACGGGACGCCGATTTGCTGGACGTTGTTCGCAGCACGTGCTCGAAACGATGCTAGAGGACAGCCTTTTCTGGCGTTTCAGAAGAAGCGAGCACTGTGCGGGCGCAGCTTTGATCGGCACTCAAGGTCCGCAAGCGCGCAGCTACTCATAATTTTGGCTTCACCGACTGCAAGGAATACAAGAGGATGCGCGTTTCAGCATCCATTATACACACTCAGAATCGCTGTTCTTAAAAGATGATGAATGGGAGCTAGTTCTGAGCAAGCGCTGTGAACCACTTCCAACAATATGGCATCCTGTGAATACCTCTATACATACCTCGCTGGGCACCGTGCTTCCAAAAGACCATTCCAGAAGTATGTGGCGACACACTGTCGGCTTGAGGCATTCCGACAATCCGACTTGCAGCACGCGACATTACCCAGGAATAGAAGACAAAGTTCATGTCAGTTTACCATTTTGAGATTCCAGAACCCAAAGAAAGCAGTAAAAAACCAAAACAGTGTGCAACATAACCTTGTTTTCTCATTCTTCTATTTTTTGTGTTTCTGAACCTACAATGATGAAAACAAAACGTATTGTGCCGCTTCCAGGATATACGAAGTGTCCAAGTTGGCCCGAGGGTATATTGGAACGGCCCCGCAATTTCTCTTCTGCGCAGTGTAATGTGGGATATCCGCAAGGTTTCCCGAGATTTTCCGAAAAGGCTTATTGCAGCCATGTCGCCACACCCGACAATTATGCACGTGCATCTTTTGCGAGGAGAACAACATTCATTGAGGTTTCGTTCGTTGAATGAACGCTAGAGTAAATGAAGTGTTAAATGCCTAGAAGCTGAGAGGTCAGTTTGCCTTTGGGGTGCAGCGAAGCTAGAGTCACTGAGTAAGATACCATTTAGAGCACAGGCACTCCAGCATTACTGGTGCATAAAATCAATGTTGTCAGCTGTTTCAGCTTTTCGCCGACATACCTGACGGAAGTTAAAAGGAGCATTTTCAGCCTTCGTGCTTGCTGAAACAGCTCACAACAAAGCAAAATGATTCTGCAATAATCTCCTAATATCACACGTACCGATCAAGGAGTCTAATATCAGAACAATAACTGCGGTTCCGAGCACTAAAATGGTGGTGCATGTGAGCTGACGGTACGTAAACAAATGTTATGTGTACTTAAATGAGCGAGCGATTATTATGACGGCGTTGGACGGCGGGGGGGAAAAGAGTACCGATACCCTGAGTGTAACACTCTACACTCCGTTTCACCTTACATCTGACAGCAGCGGATGCTACGAGTCATCCCAGCCGGTCCAGCTCTGCGAACGTAGCATGCGATTATGCTTTCCGCCTGTAACGGCACCCCCTAGAAAGCTTGCACGACCTTGGATTGACTCCAATGACTCGTGGCATCCGCTGCAGCCAGACATAAGGTGAAACGGAGTACAGCGGCGATTCTTGGCGACACCAGTTCACGCTGTAGCTCAGCAATTTAGCAGGTGGAATATGGCTGTTCCACTGGGGCTTTTCACGTGCGCCACGCAGTTACGGTGATGCAACCGCATGCCAGCAAGGTGCTCATCCAGATTGGAACGGTTAGGCACAAGCTTTTGCTCCACGTGATCCGAGCTGCGGTTTACTAAAGCACTCGAGCAGCTGTCCTGTTTTTTTTTTTTTTTTTTGGATTTGATGGTAAAAGATATTTTGCACAAACAAAGCTTCATGCAAATCTGCTTTGAATGGCGTTTAGCTCTCAAAATTGCATTGCATGAAACACCAAATGTGAATGACTGTCAAAGCAACCCGGCGAGCAATTGGTTTTTACAATCTCGGCAATCAGTGCCGTGAAAGGGAAAGTTTGGCTCGGCACGTCAAGAATCATCATACATATCGGACAATAAGTATTTCTTCTGTTGGGACAAGCTTCACATTCTTTTAGAAAATACAGTCACATTCTTATGTCTTTTTTTGTTTATTTCTTGCAGCTTTTAAATGAAAAGGTATGTGTTATATTTCAGTTTGTCAGAAAGTTTCTCCTCTTTTTTGCTGCTGCATAGTATTTCATGTACAAGATGTTCTTTATATGCAATCATTGGGGTGTTTTTTTTCCCTTACTGGAGTTATGGAATGTTTTTGGAACATTCCTTGGAACATTCCTCTTCCGATTTCAGTTCTGAGGCCTTATGTTTGAACTCCTTGACATTGGTCTTGTCCTTTGCTGCTAGAGCAGAAGTTCGGAAGCGGTATCAGTTGTGGCTTCAGCAGCAACTCTATGCCCTCCATTCGTATAAAACATCTAAAAAAAAGTAGATGACTGAAATCTCTGCAGTTAAGCCTACGAGTACATATTGTGGCCCATTGATTAAAATGCCTGTGTCTACGTTTTTCTGGGCTAATGGAATGGACTGCATTTGAGTCCTATGTGTTTAGAATTTTTACACCCGGTTTCTTAAACATTCTCTTATTGCCCTTATCTTTAGTTTGCAAAGTTCTCCAAGTTTACTGTGCAAAACTTCAAACAAGGGGACCATGCAACACACTGAAAGCCGCTGGCTTCATTTGAATTAAAGGGAAATTGCTCCTTGTGGAACCTTTAGGCATAGTCCAGTACAGTATTTGATAATGTCCCTGTATTTCAGTAGTAGGGGCCCGACCAATAAGAAACCTAGTGTTCTTTCTTAAGTCAATAAAAAGATTAGTACCGAACCATGTGCCGCTATCCTGCTTGTATGACAATGAGAATTATGACTGCACTAAGAGCAACAGTTATGAGCGTTCTGCTAACCGGCACCTCTGCCTTAAGGTCTTTTTTCATTAGGGTTCATCACAGAACTCAGTAACATTGTTTGCATAGTTACTCAGAGGGCAAAAGGACCACACTTTCACAAAGGACAAATTCACGGCACAAGCAGTTGTTACGCTGACCCAGGTGTGGCAAAGCATGGCCGACTGATGCCGAAGCTGGCAACACGGCTTACGAAAGCAACGGGCGAACAGGGACACATTGCTGGCGTAACCACCATTGACCTCAACACTTTAGGGGTCACAGGCAGCACTAGATTTGAATGTTAAGAAGGGATACAGGCGGGCTGGTTTAGATGGATGTTTTTAACCCTGGAGATTGAGAACAAAAGCAACAGATAGTATAAATTTACCAAGATCTACTTTGTCTCTAGATTTAAATATCTAGACGTTTGAACTTTCGAAACATGATATGCAAGCAAGAATTATGAAATGTAAGCATCTTGGTGAAATTTGTCTTTGTCTAGTAAAATTAAGGGAAACTGGTTCTGCTTTCTTTTTACCTCTCTAATCTGTGACCATCTCTGAGGTGCAGAGGTTCTGCCTCAACCTATACAGCACAGGGTTTGGACACTGGATGGTCCCTCGTTTAGGAAATTTTGGGGTTGCTGATAACCCAATTGCTTTTTGACAAAAGCCACCAAAATTTCACTCTTGCCGGACATACAGTGCATGCATAAATTCCTATGCCGTTTTAACGCAAAGCAGTGTTCGAGTTTGCATTTTTTTTGTAGTTTACATTTTTTTTTCATTGCAGCAAAAAATAGTCACTTGTGAAGGCATTTTAGCTGTCATGGCAGTCAAGTCACCTGTGGCTCACGGTTTCTCCAACGGTGCGGTTTTAAATGTGATTAGAAAAATGCTGATGTAATATCAAGCTGAAATACATAAAGAATAACATGCTTAGAGTTTGTTTAAATGTAGGAAAATGAAAATCGAGCAGGCTTAATTCTTCTGTTACTCCATTATTGGTGCTCACTCTGCATGAGGCTGACTCAACACACATCTTGATCTGTGTTCCCCTGCCAACAAGTATGTTAAGACAACTGACCACACAAAACACTGAAAAGCATAATTGACGAGCTGGGTTTGAGCTTGGAGGGGGGGATACCGATACTCTGTATGACAGAGGCACTCTATGTTTAAAGTATGCATTTCTCTCCTCGCAGCTTGCCAAAGGAGAAGTGGAAGAAGCTGTGGAGCCGGAACAGTAAAGACCACCCATGGCTAGAGTGAAGTTTTTCCGTCCAACGATCATGCCTTTGCTTCTTTTAAAATGAAAACTACTTCTGACCTTGTTAAAAATAATTATTCGTTTCGGGCTCGTTTCTACCGAATATGTGTGCTCAGAACCAACATTCCCAGACCTGCTCCTGGCTTTAAAAAAAAATTTCCTGGAGCCCTCGATTTCCGTTGACTGCGCAACAGCTTGAAACACAAGCAAGCCTAGCGAGGTTACGTGCGACTCGGAGTGTGTTCCGCTTTTGAGGTTCACCAAATCACTATAGATGCCCATGCCGTTTACAAAGGAGCGTGTCTACTACATTCTCAGTGTGTGGACTCTGGAAATCTGTAGTGATAAAGTTTTTGAATGGCAAACTCGGTGCCCTTTGGCTGCTTGTATTTTAAACTGTTTGGGGTTATATGTGGGAGTGGATGGGGGGGGGGGGGGGGGGGAGACTTTAAATTGGGTCGTGGGAATCGAAGTTATTAACAGACATACCAAAACATTGTTTGCTTGCGACACATATAGTTAAAAGAAACATTACTTAAGTGACATTGGCATTCCAAGTGGTTAATTGCTACAAGTTTGAGATCTCATCCCCTTGTTTGTTTTCGTATAACTCTTGTGTGAACTAGTCCGGGTTTGTATGATGCAACCCCTTTTCTGAAGGGTGCCATTTCAACATATCTTATGTTTGTGTGCAATGAAAGTTTCTTGTTTTTAAGTGTACCGAGAACAAAAGTAGTATTTTTTCTGTATGTGGATTGTTTTATGCTCACAATAAAGTAATTGTGGTGCTCCCGTGGAATTTTTATATGCGAAGTACTGTAATAACCACCTTCCCTGGAACTGCATTTCGTTTCGTAGGGACATGCTTCATGGACAACTTTTTACGGACACAATTTGTGGACACTGTTCGGGGATGCCATATTTTTTTTACCAAGTGGACTGGATAACTGGCTTTATTTCTTGTGCCGGCAGTATGCCGGAACTATAACGGAGCCACTAAAGCAGCTCTGATAAAGCAAAATCACAAGCCGTTATCCTAAGCTTCCAGACCGACTGCACAACATGCGGTCACCTCTCGGGGAAAATGGATTATAACTAGGGTGGTAAAGGATGTAATAGAGATGCTTCAACTGGTCCCTCTTCCCCACTTAATGCAACCTCTATGGTTTCATAGCTTCCACTGTTACAAAAACACAACCTCTCCTTCCTCTAAAGCACAAATAGGATGACCCAAACTGGAAACGTAAACAGTGACTTTTGTCATGACCCAAAAGTACTATGACCTGTTGTCCCGACCAAAATTTGAAACAAAAGTGTGGTGGCATTTTCCCATGACCACTGACTCTGCGCACGGATCAAACCATTAATTGTAAAAATTCTTTTGTGCATTTATGTGTATGTGTGGGGGGGGAGAGGGAGATTGGCACATTGAAATTCTGTGTTTATCGGATAAATCCGAATTGATGAACATTTTACCAGCGGGTGTTTTTCAGAGTTTTTTGAATTTATCCGAAAATACGGAACCCTAATTATAACCTTAGTGACAAGTGGGAACTTCCGTTGTTTATGATGTCATTCATTTTGACAGCCTTGCAGTCTAGCATGAAACTCCAGCAGCATGCAGGCAGTTTGCGGCATTCCAGATGGTCACATTGCAGGGTTTGCTCACCCTTGGTGACTCTGCAATGCTTCTATGGAACAAACAAGTGATCACCGCTGTCATCTTCGTCAACTGTCAAAGCTGATGTGTGCTACTGGAGTTACCCCGGTATCTTACTATAGTGACGAACAGGATGCGTACGGTGGATGTCTTTTTCCGATGCCCGGCTTCCAGCACGCGCTCATTGCCCTCTGCTATGCATCGGCCGTGCATGCATGCACGAAGCTCACGGGATGCTGTTAACAACGGTAGGGAGCTTGAGCTGAAGGCTGCACAACTGGAGGACCCCCCTGAAGTTCTCACCCTGTCGGCAACATTGGAACCGTTCCTTGTGCCTCCTCCAGGCAAGGCTAGGTCCCCAGCCTTCAGTACTTGATGAGCGCAGAAAAAAAAACAAAAAAACAGCAGCATGATAGAGGAGGACATCAACTGTCCATCTGTCTCAACTGATTTCAGCATATGGTTTCAAAGACCAGTTTTAAGTTTGTCATATCATACTAATGCTGCAGAAAAGTGCCAAACTACAAGGCATGAATGAGGTTTTATAAGAGCTGGTCAAAGGCATTGGCATACTACATGGTCCTGTGGTTAATAATTTCTTTTCAGTCATTCACGTCCGTGTTGACAGTTCAAACAGTTCTAAATATTCTCCTGTTGCTTTCATTTCGGCCTATACACGAAGTTGACTTGTGCTACATTCACACCGACATTTGAATCTCAACCGCAAAGTGGATCCACTCATTCTCATCATCAAATATGCGTGAATTTGTATTGAATCTTCAAGCAGCCGCATTTGCAACCACCCCGCAACTGTAGTTCAACCGCCGGTGTGAATGAGGCCTATGACATACCTTCAGGTGTTACCAAGCACAGCCGCGATGCTAGAAGCAATCTGTCTACGTAAAGGCAAACTTGATTACCATGGGGTGCCAGGGGTAGGTAATGTGGTATATTTTTGGCAGTGCTCATACACATGCTTAAAGGTCATCTATATCAGCAATTTAAGTGAAGATGCTGCGGTATTGTGATTCGAGCAACTTGAGGGAAGCTGCCATCTGCCTGGGCTAGGCTGCCTTTATTTTTGCATCAGTCCTAATGGTTTCTGGTAGCCTCCATGATGGAGACCTAGGCAAGAATTGCCTTCGAATGCATACCAACCTGCAATCTGAGGCTATTCTGCCTCTTTTATTTGATCCTGCACTGTTCACCACCACCAGGCAAGCAAGGACTTATGTCTCCAAATGACAAGAACCCTGAAAGCCGTTGTCACTGTATCTGTACCATACTTGCCTCATCAACTTCATTGCGAGTAGTGTCACAAGCCCCTTGGTGTGGGCTACCAGCCTTTTTACAGAATCGTGGTGCTGGTTTAAATAAAGTGAATAAGTGGTGCGAGGAGTGGCAAATGTCCTTAAACTTCAATAAATGTGTACATATGCTTATAACGCAGAAAACAAACGACTTCCCCTTTTAACTACAATGTGTGCGATCACCCACTTTCACTAGTTACCTCATGTAGATAGCTTGGAGTCATTATCACAATCAATCTACGATGGAACTCCCACATTATGCAACTCGCACGCTTTGCATTAAATAAACTTTGATACTTAAAAAGGAACCTGAATTCTGCATCATCCACCATTAAATTGCTCATAAAACAATTGTTAGATCAGCTCTTGAGTATGCTGATATAATATGGGACCCATTTGCAGCATCTAACATTAATTTAATTGAAAAAGTTTACGCTTTATTTACAATAAGTACTCTCATACTGATTCCGTAACAGATCTCTATGCGATCGCTGGAAAATCGTCAGCAAATTAACAGGCTGAAATGAAAGAACTGTGCTGTCCGTCCTTGTCCCCAAGTGTTTTTATTCTTTCTTTGACTCCTCTAAAATTTTTGTTTAGTTTATTTCATGACCACTTCAATCTAGACAAGAATTTGCCGCCGCCCTTCTCCACGCTACCCCTCTAGAACGCAGAACATTATGGCCCCTGTTGAACATACCTGTAACACAATTAAATGTTTTTTTTTTTTTTTTTCTAAAGACAATACACGACTCGAATTCTCTGCCGAATGATGTTGTTACAGAAGCTGAATATGCCTTATTTGTACGGAAGCTTTATCATCATTTTTCTTGAATTTTTCTGCTCCGTGCTCGGCAGACCCTGCTGTGTAAACCTGATATCCATTGTGATGTTAAGTTTCCTTTTTTATGTAGATTTGAACGTGTTGACATTTTGAATGTTGTAATATGCATAGTGCTGACCCTGTTGATCTTTCTCTCAGTGTATTGTCAATGATGATTGTTCGCTGCCCACCCCTACAAAATCTCCAATTAAAGATGTAGTATCAATAAATAAATAAATGTTACAATGGTAGGGTAAATGCCTGCTATAGGCTAGCATTATGGCATGCAAAATACAACGTTAGAACTTGTCAGATATGCTGCCCTTGCTCATAAACTACAGCTGAGCAATTATTAGAGCGTAGGACACAAAGGTAATTTCCCTTGCAACTATGCGTTGTTTAGATACGAGATTTCAGGTCACTTCATATCATGAGCGAATTGGCTGATATCCATCTATAAATAGGTACTGCACTCGTGGCATGATGATGATCAGTGCCGAGTCTGTAGCACGATTCCAAGGAAATGGCACACCAATTCTAGCTACAAAGTTCGGAATGTCGTAACAGCACAAACCATAATACCTACCTTCCTTTTATCATCGTCGACAGCGAGTCAAAGCCAGCAACCTAATCCGAGTCGCTACAAACAAGGACAACAAGACACGCAGCTTCTCATGTGCTTCAGTGTATGTCAGCTTTCACAAATCGAGTGGCACTGCATAAACAGTTCATCTAACTAGACACGGCAAAATTGAAGTTCCACTGGTTGCTGTAAATTTTAGTGTTTGGCATTTTATTTATGAATAAAAAGAAAACTTGCACCGTGTGAAATTAGCACACCATGTGAAATAAGCTCATGGTGTGAGATATTCTGACTAGAAGGCTGCCCTTGCATCACAACACACAAGTTGCTCGGCAGTCAATGCTTTTATTCCTGTACGCAAGTCGAGCCAAACAGAGGGTGTTTGCTGCAAATAATAATTTAGTTGAGTTTGTATTATTCAAAGATTATTAAAAAATCTTCAGTTATGCATGCAGGGAAAGGTAAACCCCCATTTCAAAATGACACTAAGCAGCATAGTTGCTGCTGATGCAAACGAAACGACCGACCCAGTTTATACTTCGCAAGATTTAAGTGGAACTGGATGTTGCGTTTCACGATGAGGCTTGTGCGTTGAGCTTTTCTGCTTGCACTTTCTTGACATTCCAGTTGTGCAGCCTTGCCATATCTGTGTTATTTACTAGTCAAGGTTTGAATATTCTCTACAAGAAAGCATGATGGATATCAAAAATTTAGAAGATGCACAGAAGTATGGGTGAATGCGACGTTCCTTGCCAGGCAGTCGGATGTACCAGAACAGGTTACTCTAGCCTGGTTGAAACGAAACATTCAAAACAAAACACCAGCAACAAAGAGGTTCAATGTTGCGCCTTATGTTACATCTCCAAGGTGTCGTTAGTGGAAACTAAACCCGCAGACATTATTCTGCTGGGGCCTTAGATTCAAACACAAGGTTGGGGCCGAACTTTACGTAAAGCTCCAATTGGACGCCTGCTATGACGATGTAGCACTTTCGACGCCGAAGTTCACTAGGCGCGCTCCACAAGCTTCCGGCTCCAACTTTGTGTTTGACAGGTCTAGAGTCCCTTGTACGATGATCATCACTAGCCTTACAATTTGGCCCCAGGTCATGGCTTTAGTGCGAAAATCTGAAACCGAGGTACAGTGGTTATGTTTTGTTAGGCTGGGGGAAGACAACTGCTTGTGAGTATCTGATCTATTGCAAACTGTCTAACATTCCTATACATTATGACCACCCAGGCATGACCACCCTGTCAAATGAGGTACATGTAGGTACCTCACACTCCACATCCCTGCAGTGCAAGTCAGATGGCCTACATATTCCTCATATAAAGATTCTGGTTCATTTTTAACACAAAGAAAAAAATAAGTACACCCCAATAAAACTGGCCTGAGGGGAGCTTCAGATATGTTGTAGGTGCTGTATTTCGCTCCAAGCCCATTCCAGGAACATGAGCGGAGCATGACACAGTTGGTAGGAAGAAGCAATCGCCGGTATCTACAGCTGCTGTTGTCAAAGCTACTATATTATGACGAACTGCACTGATTTGGGGCATACATTTTTGTGGAAGACACGCGTGAGGAATAACCATAGCAACCCTCAATGGTATCCGTGTGAGGCGGAGAATAATGTCACGCCGCCCGAATCAAACCACGCAAGATATTCGTTGAACCACTGGGAAACTTGAGAGTGGGCATGAATTACGTTACGACATAGACGCAAGTGATGCCAAGATAACCTGCTACAACTTCAGTGCTTGAGTATGGTAATGCGCTTTGGTTGCCGCTTACTAGAACTGCCGCCTTTCCTCACTTCGCTGCCTCGTTGACTGCACTCCTCGACATGATACAATTCCCCTTTTGGCACACTGCCACTATTCCTGTCAATAAGCTCTTATATCGCACAAACGTTTCAAAAGCGCATGTAACAGTTGAGTCAGTGTTGCCAAATCATGGTAAATTTCTCACAAACATAGCTCCAGTGGACAATAGGGAATTAAACTCGAATGCATGTAAAATAAGAGATGTTTGGTTTTAAAAGTGCATATTTTACAGGCATTCGAATTAAGTTTATATTTACCCCTTGGGGTTAGGCTTGCCACACAAGGTTAAAAATTTCCCACGATTCGGCAACACTGAGTTGAGTTCCAAAATCGTCTCGCCCCACGACCAAGGCCCTACATGGTTCCCTTTGTCTTTATGCTGCCTAAAGGGCTGTAATCATTCACTCCTTGCGCTTCTTTTTACACGACACTATAACCACTGAAAACAACATTGCTGCTTTGTGGAAATAACCACGACCATTAATTACGTGAACTGCACGTGCAAAATTTTCTAGCCATCCGGTTCATTCATGAGATGCGTGACAGAGCAATGTGCCTAGCGCAGAGGCAGATCCGGACACTCCATCTGATGGGGGGGCGGATATTATGCCACAAGCTCCGGGTGCTTTTGGGCGGCGTCCGCAAGAGGCCAAAGGCACCGGCACCAGCGTCCCTGGGCTCCCAGTTCACTCGCGAAGCTTGTGGTGCGCTTTCCCAAAAACCTATGTAATGTTTGGGGGGGGGGGGGGGGGGGTCGCCCCCATTTCCATTGTTACCTTTCCTTGGATCTGCCACTTGCCTAGAAGTTATTTAGTAACACGACAACTTCCGTTTTTCACGTATTTTCTATCCACATTGTGTTCGCAGTTCTAACTAAATGCTTTTATAGTCTGGAAACCTGCCCGTTTACATGGAAAGGGGATCAAGAGGGGCATAGCAATGGACATCGTCTTTCGCAGATAACCCCAATTATCTCGGCACGGCAGAGCGACACTGTTGAGTTTTTGTGCACGTGTCCCATTTTACGCAGTAGCATTCAGCGTTCCTCAATTCCCTGTCAGAGCAGAACATAAACCACCGACAATGCTGCCTTCGTATTTTCCAGGTAATTTCCAATAAAAGCACAATAGTTAGTCATATATTACTAAAATTCGGTCTTGTGATAAAAGACAAATGATCAACGGAACCACTCGGCCATTCACAAGCTTCTCAAAGTGAAAGCTCCATTGCTGTTTGTTCTTTCTGTCTTAAAACCTGAAATACACTTCGCACTTTCAGCCTCTTCCCCGTTTTCTCCCCACTCGTATCCTTAGGAGAGAAGGACGCCAAGAGGATTACCTTCCTCGCAGAAAACCGAGGGTTGTACGGCACTCTTAAGTAATGTAGACAATTACCATTGTGAAGACATCAGTTTCATTAACCCTTTGTTGATAAATGTTGCCTACAGGCAACAAACCACATATTTTTTTAATCTATAGGGTGTCCCAAATCACCAGGCTCCATCTAGAATGGACCGTAAAAATCAACACCTGCAGGTAGCACTTTTCGTCGAAGGTGTATTTCACAGGTTGGTTTTTCTTGTAAAATTACAAAGCGTAGCTCCCTTTCTATAAAAAAAATAGGGCCAAGAAACGTGCCAGTGTCAACGGTGGGCGGCGACGCACATGACTGAATAGAGTTGCGGGGCGCGTTTGGCGCACATATTGATAGATGGCATCGGGAGCAGCATTGGAATAAAGCCCCTTGATAAAAGCGTTTTTACAAGTACCGCCAACCATTGTTGTGGAAGCGCGTGAGACACGTGCCATGAGCGGGTGCTCCGCCGCCATTCGCTTCCAAGGCCCGCTCATTTCAGTGCTGCGCCACCATTTGCTTCCAAGGGCCGCTCGAGACATGGGCCTCGTGCACTCATGCATTTGACGCTACTTGCAAGACAAGCGCAAACACATCGAGGGGCTTTACATTGGAAGGTGTAGCCAACCAGAGAAAGAAACCAGACGACACGCAGACGGAATTCGTCGGCAGCAAAAGCGCCGTCGTTATGCAAACACGTTTTTTTAATTTTAAGTATTCTTTTTATTGTCCGAATTTATTTTTTAACCAAAGGTACATTACAAAAAGATTATGTTAATTTCAATAAACCATGGTGGTCCTGAACAGTCCCAATAAGGAGGTAGCGCCATCTATCAATACGAGCGCCAAACCCACCCTCAATTCGACTTGGTCGTCTGCATCGCCGCCTGCCGTTGACCCCGGCAAGTTTCTTGGCGCCACTTTTTACAGAGAGGGGGCTACGTTTTCTAATTTTACAAGAAAAAACCAACCTGTGGAATACACCTTTGACGAAAAGTTCACATTGTTATGTGCAGAAGTCAATTTTTATGGTCCGTTTTAGATGGAGCCCGGCCACTTGGGACAGCCTGTTGTAGTCTAGTCTGGCAACAGTCTTGAAGATAGAAACTACAGTGCCATCTAGTGAAAAGATGCACGAATAGTTGATGAGCAAAAATAACTTTGGTGCACAAATACGTGGTGACCAAGAATAGTGGAATGAAGAAAAATATGGAGGCATTTTTTTCTTGACACTAATATTTCTCGATAAGTGACCGTTTTATTCAGGTTATTGTATGTGGATACTATTGGCATTTTTTAGTGACCCATCGAAGGTTACGCAAAGGACCTTTGACTTTTGCCTGCGGTTGCCCACAGGCAACAAAGCTGTAACTCACAAGTTTACCTTACAGTTTCTTTTTTATTTCGGCTGTTCTTTCATTTGATCTTGTTAAACATTAATATCTTAAAAAACCAAACGTTTTAAAGGAGCTGTGCAACGATTTTAACATTGAAAGAATTGGCATCTTCTGCTTTTGATGTTGTTCACCTTGTCACAAATGACAAAAAACACACCTCCTTTCATCGAAATGTTGCGATTCCGCCGCGTAATAGCGAGGCAAAACTTAGAATATTCCCCGACCTGCCGCCGCGAGCGGCGGCCATGAGAAACACGAGGCGTGATGTCAAAGGGGAATCTTGCAGAAAGATAGCTAGCTGTGCGAATACCTGCTCGATAAAAGGTAACTTTTCTATAAATCTTGTCGTTCCAACATATATATAACTTTTATTATACGGAGTTTTAGTGGCGCCGTCTATCCTAGGTCCACAGAACCGTCAACTCTCTCTGCTACCGCGAACAGAACAGCCACCGGAAGCAAAAGGGGGAGGGGGACAGGGCCGGACGGGCTATGGCCGGACCCGGATGAGACTTTTCTCCTTTCACCACATTGTTTGTGCGTCACCCCCCAACACGTGGTCACGCGGTTGCGAGCGAATGAGTTCTCGCTGCTCATTGATGGCTCTAAAGAAAGAACTTTTCTGGAAACCCGCGCCTACCCCCTCAACGTCACTGGGCACGTGACCCGGAAGACGGCGTATGAGTTGAGAGGCGGCAAAAACCTGAATCTTTTATATTTTTGTAAATAAAAGCTAGGGTATCCAGGCAAAATCTGCTTTCTGTAGTTCACTTCAGAAGTGTCACGCATCAACTTCCCCAATTTAAGCAAAGCCCTGAAATTGTTGCACAGCACCTTTAAGCAATTATTTGTATATCTTGTCAATAAATGGTTAAAGATATGCTTGTGGGAACAGGAACTTGTTGTAAAGTAATCAGGTACTTCCGAGAATGATTATAAGCACGCTTTCCAAACCACAACCACGCACTGTACAGAGCTCCGCCTTCAACCTAGCCACGCTAAGGTGCCTGCAAAGCATACCCGACTGGTGTGCTTAGCATCCTAATCTGCCCATCATGGAAAGAGGACCCAAAGTGGCAAGAAATGACGTCACAAAAGCTGGAGGGTCACACTGTCGGATGTCGAGATCCTGGCAGTTGGCTGTAGAAGTTCCAGAAAACTTGGCAGCAACCTTTATCTCCAAAACCCAACACCAACTGTAATATTCCAAGAGATGCCCACCCCTCAAAGATAACCCACCGAATCCACCCCTTTCTTTGGCATGATCTGCCATCTTTTCGAAAACACCGAAAGATAGCCCACTTCTAGTAATTGCAGGGCCCTGGCCAATGGTGACCTCAGCAGAAATGGTGTAACTTAGCCACGGTAGGGAGATGAGCCAACGATGATGACTGGGAAGGAGAGTCGTCTTTGGTTCATTGTGTTTCCCTGTGATTGCAAGCCTTTGCCGGCCACAAGATCTCTAAGGATTTTATTTTAATTTTGTTTAATGCACACTGAAAGTTAGCTTACTCCTTATTTTCATCCGATTTGCCTTCGACTTTAGGTGGGCTACCTCTCGGAATATTACAGTACAGTAAAACCCCGTTATAACAAACTAATGGATACAACAAAGCAATCATAATTTTCCTTGCTTGCTAATAGTGGGAAGAAATGGACATTGGCTATAACAAACTAATGGTTATAACCAGGGTGTCGAACCGGAACCGAACCTAAAACCGGAACCGAACCGGTATTTTTCCCGGAACTGAACCCGAACCCGAACCACTATATTGTTATCGAGATGAACCCGAACCGGAACTGAACCAGAAAAAAAATAACGGTTACCGGCTCATGTCAAAACGGTTCGGCCACGCGCTGTTGACAATGAATGTGCTATCAATGCCATTTGTTTTTTAAGTGCCGTCAACTGACACACACCTCGCTTACATATTTTTCTTCTCCACTCAGTCTTAGGAATATAAACGCTGCACCCATGAATCTTGACAAACGCTGCATCCATAAATCTTGACATAGGAACCAGTATTGCGCTGGTCGCGGCTTGCACGGAAGAAAAAGAATTGGAAAACTGTGCAAAAAAAAAAAAAAAAAAAAAATTGCCTAACGGGATTTTATTTTTCTACAATCTCGTAAATCCTAAATGCTGCTGTGTGCTCATTTCATAACACGTTTCTAGAACGCGCGAGTTCTTGAAGCTTGCTTCCATCGGAATGAGAAAAGAAAAGGCTGTGGAGTTTGATAATAATGCATCCGGTTTCGTATAGGCACTTAGAAGCTAACATATTTGTGAGACAGCGAACTCTTCTATTTTAATATTTATCCTATTACGTCCTTCTGGCGTTGCGTTCGGTGAAGCGTTTTTCATATTCCGTATCTTGTTTAATGAAAACTTCTTTAAGGGTCTAATTTGAGTTACCGAAGGCTAGTTCAAATAAAGAAAGCTGTATTTTCTCCCCACTGTTCCTTCAATTGCTTACACGCCGAGGTGGCGGGATGTTAGCGAGTTCTACTTGTAAGGAGGTCGCGGATTTTACAGCTACTACGTCTGACCCAATTAGATGAAGTCCGAATGCGTAAACGTCGGTGAGGTAACCTTTGAGTGCACATACAGAAACCATTCCTGGTAGAAATCCCTGAGCCTTACACTACGATGTATCCCGTTTCGTATGTGCTGATTTCAGATGTTTTATTTTTAATTTATTTTGATGTTGCAATTTGTCATTTATAATTTCCTAACCGGTTTGCAAACCGGTTCAGCGCCCCGAACCGGTTCGCGAACCGGTTTGCGGATCGAATTCATCGAACCGGAACTGAACCGGAACAAAATAAATTTACCTGAACCTGAACCGTAACCGAACCCATATTTTTTTCGGTTCGACACACTGGTTATAACGAAATAATTACGACTGCTCCTTCAACTTTGTTATAACGAGGTTTTACTGTATAATGCAAGAAGGGCATTATTTAAGGCGTGATCAGTTAAAAACAGTTAGAAGACATTAAACCGTGCGACTACGATTTCCCTGCCAAATTTAGCCAAGAAACTGAATTAGTGTATAGGTCAGGCTAACACAGCTAGCGGCATTCAAGGAAATCTTAGTAGACCACGACGACATCAAATATGTTAATAACCCACTCCGGCCATTAGGACGGGTACAGCCGTTAACATCCATGTTACTTTGGGGCGCTCTTTCTTCGCTCAAGCGTAGGGTTGTTGTTTCCACCGCCTCAAAACATGGCGTTATGATCGACACTGCGCCGGGCCGCCGGGTGCCGCCGTCTGTGGCAACCACGAGAACAGCGCAACGGTCACCGACATCCGATGAGCGTGATCGTCTGCTCTGAGTGTTCTGCGGAAACTGTGGTGCTTGCTCGGTCGGCATTAATTTGACTTCGAAAGTTCTGCTGCTATCGGAAAAGGATATTTTAGCGCTACTGTGCTGCGAAATGGTGTGGAAACTCCAGAAAGTCTAAAGTTTTGTCGTTCTCTCTATTCCCAAAGGAGTTCCGAAGCGAGAGGTAGTTTTGTTTTTCGCCGGTTTCATTTCAAGCCCGTTTCATGTGGTGCGATTTTCAGCCTCTTGCAGAAACCCTGTGAACACAGCACTTAAGCTGCCGACCACATTTGTTTTCATTTTTTCTTCTTATGTAGGAGCGACAGTGCACCTGACATTCGCAAGCAGATCAAACCATACCATGTGCTAAACGCACAGGACAACACAGGCATTTTGGGTGCCCTCTTTGTGCCCACAGACCCTTGCCTTGCTTTTGTGGGTAAGCTTGAAGAGTGCTTTCTGGCGTCTTCGCCAGAAAGCACTCTGCCATGAAAGCACGAAGAATCTTCGTGCTTTCATGGCAGAACAGTTGGAGAACCTTCTCTGTGCAGCAATCTGCCAGAAGTTCCTCTAAATGTTCTGTATGAACCCTGGGGCACTTACGACTTTAAAAAGAAGATATATGCAAAAACCTCAGTTTAAAAGGTCTGCAGCTGATACGAAAGCACAGAAACCGTAAGGCAGGTCATCTATCAACTAAATAAAAAAAAAAAAATATTTGTCTGCAGAAAACATTAAAGTTTCTGCTGTGGTGGTGCAATATCCTTTACAAATGTATATTTCTTTAATTGTGCTCTTACGTGGTTCTCGTGCTATCTGTTCTATTGTTCCGTAAGTTTCATCATCTGTATATTATCTTCTATTTTATGTAGAAGATCTGTGTAAATAATAAAGTATGTATGAAAAGTAAATGTGGGCTCCATGCCTTCTACCCATTTGGGGAGCAGCTTTTCTGAAGTTGCTCTACAGTGATTTATGAAAAAAGATATAAAATAAAAGCCCCAGAAGACGAGAATGAAATAGAAGAGAAATAAAATCAGGCAGCTGAAGAGAAATAAAATCAGGAGAAGGAAGTAGAAGAGAAATAAAATCAGAAAGCAGTAGAGGCGGCGATTGTAATGCCATGTTTTGAGGCGGCGGAAACAAGAACCCTACGCTTGAGAGCAGAAAGAGCGCCTGGAGGAAACATGAATGTTAATGGCAGTACCTGTCCTAGTGGCCGGAATGGGTTAACATATTTGACGTCGTCGTGACATCACCCTACTTCTCTCTCATTTTAAGCTCATTGGCCGCTCTTTTTCTCACTTCTTTGCTTGCTCGGATGCCTGGCATGTGTTACAATAGCCAAGGCTACGGCTGCGCCAGCCTGTATAGGTCACGTAACATCAATTTTTTCGCTAAAGTTAGCGAGAAAACTAAATTGGTGTTTGTCTCGTGACGTCAGGTCATGCGACATCAAGTTCCCTTCCGAATCTAGTGGGGAAACTGAATTGGTGCACAGTTCATGTGACATTGATTGACGCGACGTGACCCAACACCAGTTTAGTTTCCCCAACAAATTTAGAGGAAAATGCGCAGAGCGATGAACGAACAAATGTTTGGGATTGGGGGGTTTCGTTAAAAAGCATTTCTTGCTTTAAAAAGCATGAGCGAACGCTCATGCTTTTTAAAGTTGGGACACTGCTTAGTGACGTCCCTACTCCTGGCTGCCGTAGGTGCCTGCAGCGCCCACCACCACTGCTGCAAACCGCCAGGGTCACAACCGGTAATGGCACGGTATTTTAAAGACGTCGCCGAGTGAAAATCGAGGGACCACTGTTGTGGAAGTGGTACATACACACCAGTCGGAGACACGTTGCAGGCACCGTAGCCACGCTCATCACCGTGAAACCATCTTAGCTGCATCGAGCCAACGGGGGCCAAAAGGATACTGACTTCGGTGGTGGTAATCTGATCTCTCAGAAAGTCCACGTCACTGTCCAGCTCTGTGAGGTTTCTCGTGGCCGTCTGCAAGTTCCTGCAGAGGAGCTCCTCGGCACCTTCGAGGCTGTACTCCAGCATCACGTTGGCCTGTCGGATAATGCAACGAAAATCCACAGCAGGATGAAACAGATGGCACTAGAATTGATCTTGGGGTTCTGACAGATATGCAAAAGAAAACTTTTCAAGGACTTCCAAGACAGGCTGAGGCTCCCGCTAGGTCACAGAAACCACAGAATCATAATGTGAAAGTTGACTGCCCTTGTGTTTATCACTATGTTTTAGATAACATTTTGCCGTCACATGCTCAGAGATCCACTCCACATTTATCTCTTCATTTTGGCTGAGCGTTCTCATGGGATTCTATGGTAGGCAAAAAAATGCCGAGTCACGGGACAGTGGATGCATGCGTGACTTCTTATGCTCCGAAGAAGGAAACTACCGCACATGCTCAGAATGCATTGCACAGCCCAGCAGGCGAAGACGGCAGCGCCAAGAAAGCGATTCTTGGAATGGTGTGTAAAGAGGAAATTCAACACAAACCTGAAGACAGTTTCCTCATTGACCCCTTAACCATTTCATATTCTTCAGAAATTTTGACCCTAAACTGTTCTTTCCATTTTTATTGTATGTGTGGTGCAGGCCGCAGAAGTCTCCACTATTAGCCACCATATTTAAAAATGTAAACAATAAAAAAAAAAAAAAAAATGTGCTGTCGTCTCTTGCCAGTGCCGCAAACTAAGCCCTGAACGAGCCTGGGTCGTCCAAAACAGCCAAAGGGCAAACGAGGGTGAGTGGACGAGCTACACTTGTCATATACGGTTTGGGGATGGCTCTAGGTGGACAGGCTACTAGGCTCGTCAAAAACGGTTAAAGGGTTAACGACCGTGCGATTTTCCTGAGGTTGTTCCAACTACACAACATAAGCAACGTCCATCTTATCCAACATATACCGTGACCACCGGCTTCAATGCCCATCACTTAAACATAACCCATTGCTATTCTTACGGTAAACGTCAGTTTCCCGTGAAAAGACATGGCAAGATTGCCCTCCTCTACACAAAATGCCAATGGCAGAACACGAGGTTACCAAGTACTTATACCCCTCAACATTGTGACCATGAATCACGAGGTGCAATGCTGGTCATGTTATCATAATAAGGAAGAGCTACACGCCGAAGAAGGAAGTCCCGGTGAACAAGTCACTGCGAAAGCATAGATCGAACAAGGCTGCAAGAGCATGTAACCCTGCTAGACCATAATAAATGCTGCTGCTCTTCATCACACATATGGAAGTGACAGGTGATGGCCCATTTTACATGGCAGTAAGACCTCGTTTGATGAGTGCGTCAGGCACAAAGCAGCTAGTGTTTTTAGTGCCTCCTTTCCAGCTACATAGAAAAAAATGGCTATTTTATAGCTCTTTCCCAGCTTTTAGTACTTACAGCCATCAAAACATTGCCCCTTCCCTATTTTTTTTTTTTTTTGTTCGACAAATGTTTGGTAAACGAAAATTCCTCAAAGCCACGCGAGGCACGTAACAAATTGTACTAGTGTCGTGTACACTTCTGCCACGCCTCTCTCCCATGGTGGGGTAGGACAACTGCTCGCCTGCCCTCGTCCACTTGCATACATTAACTTCGCCATGGCCCCGAAACAAGATAAAAACTACCAAACGCGCAGCTCATCTCGACAGTAAATTGTATCAGTCGGATCCGCTGATATCGCAAGCCATGACTAGCACAGGCAGCACGGGCCTGGGGCCAAGAAACCGTTTGGACGGGTTGGAAGTTCCCGGCAATTGCGGTAGTTGCGGACAGCTACGGGACCACAACAGGAAAGTGCGAGATCCATACGGCCTGTTCCGAAAATGCCAGTAGAGGGTGCTGTACATTTTGCAAATAGTAGTCCATTCCAGGTATGGTTGAGTACAGTTCCTTTCTTTGAATCATCGAAACTTGGAGCTCATTGTCCAGTACATTCATTATGTCTAGAGCAATTTCCCAACTGCCACTGATTGCTGTTGACTCTGTCTGATTTTGTTTGGTGCATAATATTGTCGTACACATTACTCCTTTATTTTGGCAGTGGGCGATTTCTCTGAATCAGTTTCAGTATGCAACGGGAACTTCCCAAGGCCTCTATTGGCTAATCATGGGACTCTAGTTTTGAGTCCTAGTTGGATGGGAAATGCCACTTCTCAGGCAGCCCTCAGCTGGTAGGATTATAAGGGGAATCAAGCCGAGGCAGTAGTAGTAAGATTCAGGCACGTAGCCAGGGGGAGCCCATGGGGCCCGGGCCCCCTCCGAAATCCTCCATTTTGCTGGGACCTCCTCTCACCCCTTCCCCCTGATACAGCATTTTGTTATGGGCGGGCTTCCCCCAAAACAGAATCCTGGCTACATGCCGGGTAAGATTAGAAGTAATTTAAAAGGCAACTCCGCCCAATTCTGAAAATTTTGGGATATGTGATTTTATATCCAAACCACTAATAAAAAGCACTACACGTCATTTGTTTTGCGAAAAATAGAATGTATTTTGTGGAATTCTACTTTAATATAAGCAGAAACCAAAACCGAAACTTTGGCTCTGTTGGGCAAGATTGGCCTCGGGCCGCCAAAAACATGGCTACTACGACATACGAGCGTTCACATGATCCTCTATGCGATGATGGGCGGAGTCGGGGTGGGCCACCATGGGGGCGGGCATGCACAAGGGACGAGTGTTGTCTGTAGCACGATACATATTCACCATGTTTTGGTGTCTACGATATCTGACGAGCCTGCCGCACAAATGGCAAGATGGCCACGGCGGTTGTGACATGGGAGATGAGTAACGGCAGGACAGCTCCCCAGGCTAAGAAGCGCGTTGCTCAGGCTGTTACGCCAATCACGTGGACATTGCCGAGCGTTGAGGGGAGACGATGCTGATGTCACTCGTTACGCTTGCCCAGGGAAGTAAAAACAAAGAGTAGCAACGTTGATGACGCTTAGCTCAATGTTGGCTGTGCCAACACCATAGTTACTGTGCTGTTGACTGCGCCTCAATTTGCCTGCCAGAGTCAACTGATTTCGGCAACTCAGCACATTCCAAAGTTTGCCGGACCGCTTGAGAAACATTTAGAGAGAACTGGGCCGTAATATTTTATGTGTGGTCTTCCTAGGTGATACTGAGGAAGTCTGCATTGCTTATTCAAAAACAAAAATGAAGTGGAGTTGCCCTCTAATAAGAGAGTGATAAGCCTGGCAGAGGCTGCTCTGGATTCTTCTGCTTGTGGGATGCTGTAGGGGCTCACGCTTCACGTTGCCACCAGAGTGCATGCTGTACAGGGTCTGTCCCAAAACTTCCCGGAATGATTTTTTGCAGTCGGCAACGCCGTCTGGCGGGGCGGGGCTTCGGGCGGAGAAGTTAGTGGGGGATCTAAGCTTTGAAACGAGACCGGTGTCAGTTGCCTGCAAGCAGTTGTTGAGGCAGGTCACGCACCGCGCAGAGGTATCTACTGCACCTTCATTGAGAAAAAAAATGAACCAGTTTTTGGAGCAGCATTAGGCAATCAAGTTTTGTGTGAAACTGGGTAAAAACGGGGCAGAGACGCCCGAAATGCTTCGGAAAGCCTACGGTGACGACGCGATGAAACAAAGCCAAACTTTCTTGTGGCACAAGAGTGTTCCGAGAAGGTTGGGACTCTGTCAACGACGACGACCGCTCAGGACGCCCGTCGACATCACAAACGGACGACTCTGTGCAAAAATTGCGTCAAGTTTTGGACAAGGACTGGCGACTAAGTATTCGGATGATTGCAGAGGAGTGCGGAATACCCAAAAGAATCATTCATCGCATTTAAACGAAGGATCTTCAAATGAGGGAAGTCTGAGCGAAAATGGAGCCAAAAGTCCTGACGAGTGAGATGAAGGAAAAGCCTTTGTTGAAGTGCCAGGAATCACATGAACGCTACGAAACAGACCCAAAATTTTCGGAGAGTGGTCACGGAGGACGAGACGTGGATTTTGAGTACGATCCAAAATCAAAGCGTCAGAGCAGCGAGTGGCACACGATGGAGTTTCCTCGTCCAAAAAAAAGCAAGGATGAGCAAATTACGAATCAAGGCAATGCTCATTGTGTTTTTTGACAGAAAAGGTGTGGTTCACAGTGAATTCGTGCCACAGGGACAAACAGTCAACAAGGATTTTTACTCTGAAGAGCTCGAATGGTTGCGCAACAGGGTTCAACGCGTCCGAAAACAAATTCGCAACAACTGGATTTTGCACCATGAAAACACGTCAAGCCACACCTTGCTCATTGCCTACGAGTTGCGGGCCAAAATGGCCGTAGCAACGCTGCCCTTGCTGCCGTACAGCCCCATGTTGCACGCACCATCAGACTTTTTTTTTGTACCCAAGAAGCAAAAGAACCTTGAAAGGGACTCGGCATGGGATGCTGGAGACGGTAAAAGCAGCTGCGACGATCTCACTAAAGGAGGTTCCCGTTCATGGCTTTCAGGGCGCCTTCAATGATTTATTTATTTATTTATTTAAAATACCCTCAAGGCCATTGGCATTACAGAGGGGAGTGGGGGTTAGTGGCAGTAGTACACTTCGCAGCTCAATCTGAGCAGTATAGATTATTTATGGCAGTCCTAAATAAAGCAATAGATGCGGGAAGGTGGTTCCAATCCACTGAAGTTTTCGGAATGAATGACTCTTGGAATGCATTAGTGTTGCATTTTAGAATGTCTACTTTATACATATGATCAATGCGAGGTGAAATATAAGAAGGTTGATTCAGCAGTCGGTTGTGAAGTAATGAGTTAGTATGGTATATCTTATGAAAAAGACATAAGCGAGCTATTTTACGACGTAAATTGAGGTTAGGCAACAATAGGCTAGTTTTCATTGAGCTCACGCTTGCGGTGCGATGAAAGTTATTAAGAATAAAACGAACAGCGGGATTCTGAACGAATTCCAGGGCGTTAGTTAGTTTGGAATGACCGGGGTCCCAGATAGAAGAAGCATATTGTAATTTAGAGCGTACAAGCGTTTTGTACAGAGTTAGTTTCAAAGATGAAGGGGCAAGTGAAAAGTTTCGTTTTAGATAACCCAGCATTCAATTAGCGTTATTAATAACATACTCAACATGCATTTGCCAGGAAATATCTCAGGTTATATACACGCCCAAGTATTTATAAGAAGAGACAGAATGTAAGGGGACATCTTCGAGAAAATAAGAAGAAGGAAAATTACATTTACGCGATACTGTCATGGCCTTGCATTTAGTCGTGTTAAGTTCCATCCCCCATAATTCACACCACTTTGAAACATGGTTGATGTCAGTTTGTAAATTCAGAACATCCGAGGCGTTAGTAACTTCTCTGTAAATAACACAATTATCAGCGAATAAACTAATTGAAGAAGAAATCGAATTCGGCAAATCGTTAATATAGATAAGGAACAATAGCGGACCTAATACAGAACCTTGCGGTACTCCAGAATGGACGGAGGCGAGCGGGGATGTTTCATCGTTAGCGGTTACAAACTGGGAACGATTAGTGAGAAAACAAGTTATCCAGGACAGAACATTTGCGTCAATGTTAAGACTGTTAAGTTTTAATAGCAGCAGCTTGTGTGAAACTTTATTGAATGCTTTGGAAAAGTAAAAAAAAATGCAGTCTACCTGGGACCCTCGGTCAAGTGTTGGCAACAGTGCATCGAAGCAAGGGGAGAATACTTCGAAAATTTCTGAAAAGATTGTAAACTGATATTCAATAAATGATTTATATAAAAAAATTCTGGGAAGTTTTGGGGCAGACCTTGTATGTCAGCACATTCCACCAAAAAGATAGCTTCAAAAACAACATTCTAAAGTGGAAGAAAGAAAATTACTGATTTGTTTGGGTCAGCGGTGTCGCATTTATACTTAGTGTTGCGGTTGTTTAGTATTGTACTTACTCGAGTAAGAGCCACACTATTTATGAACAAGGCCCATGTGCCTACTTTCCTGCAAAGCACATATACAGCCAATCATCGCGTTGCGCATAAATAACATAGTGAATAACTAAATCAAGAACACGAGTCTCCATACAAATGCCTCCTTCACAGATGGTATCTTCGTGCGAAGACGTCATCCCTGTCCTGTAAACCGCTGGAATCATGCTGTTGATCGCGGCGATTGGCAATCCACAAGCTCCGCGGAAAAGCGAACCCTCAGGTTTTCTTCATAAACAGTGCGGCTATTACTCGAGTAAATACGGTACATGCTTACGAAAAAAAAATGTCCAGTTCCCCAAAATCAGGCAAAAAGGATTGAGTGTAACTTTACGCATACATTTCCAAGCAGAAAGCTTATGCAAAGTGCAGGTTTGTCTGCTTCTTTTTCGGGAGTTCTGGTGACGTCAGAATGCCGAGCTCTGATTGGAGGACTTGAGGTCTACGGTGACCCACTATCCTTCAATCATAGCCAATCAGAGCTCGGCGTTCTGACGTTACCATAACCCCTGCAAAAGAAGCAGACGAACTTGCGCTCTGCATACCATTCAGGAATCATTGCACCTAACTAATCTAGCAGTTGTGCTTGCCAGAGGGACGTGCCACGCAGTTTGGGAATTTCCAATTTCTGCCTTAACCTTTCTGGTTTAACAGATAGGGGTCCAGAGGTGCCACTGGAAGGAGAAGACCAGGCCCATAGAAGTTATGAGAATAATGGGGCAAGATTAGCCTTACCCCAAGCCAGAGGCAGACTCTCTCAGTGGGAGGGATGACAGCCTTGGAGTACACCTGGTCGGACAGCACAAACCTTGTCTCCATATCCTCGGAAGATTCCTAGGGAAAGAGATAGAGGAATAAAGGTAAACAATTCCTTTCATGAGCAAGGCTACAAAGAGGATGGCGTGGTTATGAGCTTTGTCAACGCGTTACAACCTAGTCGTTTTCAGATGCCCGGGGACTGGTTAGACGACACAAGACGAGGCAAAGTGAGTCAACTGTGCCTCAAAGCTACACTGACGTCCTCCTCCTTTCTATCTCATCCCCTCTCCGCATCTTCCTTTCTATTCCCCGGTCACAGGAGATGAATAGCCGCGGGGGAGAAGGGAAATACAGTTCGGCCAAGTTCAACGGCCTAGGCACTTCGGAGACCGACGCCGTACTTCGGCAGAGCGGCGCAGCTTTTTGGAGAAGGTTGTCGTAACAACATTCCGAGTGGCTTTGCAAAAATGCACTGGGTGGAATTTGGTAATCATTTTGCACAAAGTTTTGGTGCCTTTTCGAACAAAAGTTTGGTGTCTTTGTGGTGTTGCCACAACATACTTCACATTTAGACGCTAAAACGGGTGCCAGAATTTCGTTTCAGTACCCCTCTAAACAGAACGCACAGTTTCTCTATCACTGTCCTCAGAAATCGTGGCAAATCGAGATCTTTTAGTTTAAAAGTGACTGTTAACGAGGCAGTGCTAAAAGTATATAGTGATGCATTCATCATAAATCCACCACTAGAATTTAGAACCCCACTTTCAATGGCAACTTTCGAAAGACGTTTCACAAGGAGCACCATGCAAAAGTAGCAGGTATTTGAAGTTGCCCATAAAATCTAAGGTAAACTGATCTCAAACATTCCACACACAATTCAACTCACAAATTTGGTTATCTCTACTCTGACTTTTGTACTGTGTTCTCACAATGTGCACCAGCAGAAACAAAACACCAGGTGTTCCAGATTTCGTGGCCAACACAAAACCTAAATGGGGCAATAGCAGTACTTGTAGTAGTAAGCCTTGCTGAGACTAGAACGACTGTTATTGTCTCGCTGCAACCAAATGGGGCATTTAAGAGATGCTGCGTAATATGAAAATGGTGGATAAGACACCAAAGCAAGTAGACAAATCTTTAATTTAAACTGCTGGTGCAAGGTTGCTTTCTCGTTTCAAACTAGAACCACCGAATGCTCACAGAGTGTAGGGTTTGCTGAACTAGGATCATGCTTTCTGGTACGAAGATGTCTGCAATGTTGACGCGGGGACAGAAAACAGTATGTAAACGTTCACGTGAGAGGATTCAACAGATAGTGGATTACAAAACGGTGATAAGACAAGCTGGTTTTTGCTAGGGTTTTCTAAATCAAGTAGCCTGTAATCCAGAGCGCAAAAGAAGAATGCCAGCACGTTTGATCGCTGCCATGCAGGATCTTCCAGGTTCGTCTGCCCAAATTCAATCTCATTACACATGGCTGCCGTCCTGTAGCCTTTGAGTTAGGTACCGTGACACAGATCTTAAACGAAGCTTGGACGTTTGAACACACCGGGAACATTCAATATCTCCAGATCTGTTCATCGAAAGATATTGCTGGTCCAGCGAGGTCTTTTCAAATTAGCTGGTTCCCTAGGATATTGAGGTGGCTGCGACCTGCCTAATAAACAGAATCTAACAATCTGAACGAGACAGAAGGCATTCATGCCGTAAGTGAAGTATGTATGGCTTGTATGTGACATTGTCCCTGAGTGCAGGTAGTTATTCCTACTTATTGCTTGTTTGGAAGAACCATGATGTAAAAGTATACTACGGTAAAGACAATGCTTGTACAGATGGGCTATCAGCACGGCAGGTCATGTCACGCGAGTGCTACATTACTTGTAGAGGATCTACGGATACGCTGAAACTCACTCCAGCTGGTACAATGCTTGAAATTTTGTAAAAGAACTAACAAGTTGCCATACTCCCAGCGACTAATTTGTGAGCTGTGACAAACAATGTAAATAACCCCAAATAAGACCAATCAACTTACCCGCTTTGCCTTCAACATTTTGATGATCTCGAGAGAAGTCTTTATCTCAGGAATCTGGCTTTTTAACCTGAAAATACAGAATTGATAAGTAAAACCTTTACGCTATCTAAACAAAGGCGGCGGTTGCGAAGGTAAAAGTTGATTAGTGCTAGTTAAGAGGCGAAGCAGTCCCCGAGACCAGCATTTGCTGATGTCACGGGGTTGATTAGAGACAATGAAAATAAACAAGACAACAAACCGTTGTATATCATTCATAAAGTTCTCCCAACCTTCAGGTTGAGTTGTTGCCTCAACACGTCGGGCAGAACGCTTACCTTTGCTTCTTCTGCATGAGGTTCAGCTCCATGAACTTGTATTTACTGTGCTGTTCGTCGAGGTTCTTCAAGCCGGCCTCGATGGTTGGATTCTCTTCTCGGGACATGAACTCGTCCATGTTGTCCTAGCACAACATAATCATTGAGCAAGGGAGTCATCGAAATTGAAAGAATCGGTGCCAGTCAAATCCCAGGTGGGATTACAACGAACTCCTTTTTGTACGAATGACAATCATCACGTGCTGGACTTACCAGGCATTCGGCTTTTGGAATTCCGGCATGAACGAGCTTCTTGACCGCCTTATCGGCATCGTTTAACTCTGTCATTATGAGATCCTAACTCGCTAAGAAGGTTACCTACAAATATGGAAATTGGAAACGCTAAGGCGTGGTATTTTCAGCTGAAACTTGACTGAAACCTACCAGAGAGGAGGAGAGCGTGAACTCGCTCAAACTTGGTCGGCGAACAAATCGAACAAAAACCGACAAACGCGCCCTCTTGCGATAACAAAACGCAAAAAAACATATTTCACACAAAACAGATACATGAAAAGTTCTTAAAATCGTGAATAAATAATATACAATTCATTGTTCAACTAAGGAAAGTTAATTTACTGTAAAGTGTAAAACAAAAATAGAAAACGAAACCGAAACTACCCCTTCAACCATTTCCGAGCTTTGCGCGTGCGCTCTCAATTCCTACAATCGGGTACTTAGACCTTTACTGTAATAACTCTATGGTCGGGTATGCCTCCGTAAGACTTGAAGCATCCTTCAAAAGAACGTACCGCATTCTGCTTCATTGGCGAGTGCAGAGCATAATTTGTTAATTTGAACAATACACATTATAACGATTTTTAACAAAAATGTATTTTTTTTTTAATTATTTGATAACCGGATGCATAATGGAGTTTTAGCAGATCGTTCCCATGACTCCGATAACGATACTCCGCCTCCCTTGCGAATGCATAGTATCGTTATCGGAACGATCTATTAAAACTCTGTTATGCTTGTAATGTCATGCGGTCGTGTCACTACTGCGTGTTAGCGGTTGTACCACACTGACTAAACTGCTCATCTACAGCTGAGGCACCAGACGCCCACTGAGGCAGATTAACTTCTGGCTGTATAAACATACACACAACAATTTGCTTTGCCTCTTCTTAGGGCTCAGGAAACAAAAGCATGCAATAACTTAAGTGACTTTACCGAGGACTGGGAGCCATACTACAGGACGAAACAAACACAGAGGTCTTATTGTGTTATGTATCGGTGCTTCCTTGACAGTGTCAGCTTGCAGTTGCAGTTCGACCCAGTCAATCTGCTCTAGCAGCTAACTTATTTGCCAGAAGAAAATTTTTTTTTATTACTACCACAATAAGCTTTATTAAGTGGGCAGCTCATATAAATTGCAACAGGGTATTTGAAAGAGCTTCTCTCTGTGCTTCATGACTATTGCACTAGCACCCGGGAATTGTTATAAAAATACTTAAAAAAAACACAGGGTAACGACAAAGCATTAGTCCTTGGCATTCTTGTACCACAGCCTGAACTGTCCCAGCAACTTCTCCATGTTCAGCTGCTCCTTCAGCTGCTCTTCCGTCAGAAGTGTGGGATCGGCCTGCTGCAGACCAACATAAAATTTGTCGAAACGCCGCACCTCTTCTCTAGCGCTCAACAACTTGTTCTCTTTGGCAGAATATTTCTGATGGATGGTATCCTGATGAGCCACAAACTGGGCATGCAGCCTCTGTTCTTCCTGCTGGTAGTACCTGAAGTCCCAAGGGGTAGTGTTAGCTCTATGGTGGTTGCGGTGGTGTGACCCGTGGCCTTGCTGAAAGTCGCCCCGACGCTGATTTTGGTGAATGCTAGACTGAAGCTGGCCCAAGTTCAACTCAAGGTCCTGCCGGGCCTTCTGAAAATCCTGTCTTCGTTTCCTTTGAAGAGCCTTCAGTTTCAGGTCGAAAACATCGGTGTCCATGCGCTGTCGTTTCGCTGGTCTGTGGCTGCAGTTACGTGAAGCCTTGCGCTTGTGCTGTTTCGACACTGGAGTGTTTCTGGTGCCTTGCACTCCCAGAATCTGTCGCCTGTAGTGAAAGGTGGTAAGTTCACTGTGTGGATTTGGGATCGTAGAGTTATGCCACACGTTTCGGACGGCTTCGTATCGTTCCTCGTCTGTGCTCAGCTGCCGCAACCTCTCCCATTCAGGATTCTCGTTGTCATTGTTTTCTTCAGGGTCCTCGCTCATGAAGGGAGCATGCCTCGAGGCTGCAGGAGCACTGGTCTGTGGCTTCTGGCCTGGTTGTTCAAGATCAAGCCTCTGAAAAGCACTTGCCGCTTTACTTGTACCTGGTTGCGAGTCGTGAAGGTGCGAAATAACAAACGACGATGGTGCCCGACTTTTGGAAAACTGAGCACCGGCTATGTCGGACACACTTCTGCATTCACCCTCGTTTACAGTGCTGCTGCAACCAGCAACAGTTGTTGCACTGTTCCTTATATTGTTAATCTTTTGCCTCAAGTCCTCCTCACTGTCCAGTGGGTCCACAGTGCGATGAAACACACCAGCTGCAGGTCTTTCTTGAGGATCAGGGTCTTCAGCGGCGGGGCTAGAGTTCACTAGAGTCGTGTCTTGTTCAGGCAGGTCTTCTACAATAATAGTCCGATCTTCCTTATCAATATCAAGGAGGAGTGTGTCGGTGGACTTTACGGAACATGCAGGTGAGTCTTGCTCCTTCGCTTCACATGATACTGCTGGGGTCTTGCCTCCACTCTCATCAAGCTCATCAGTAACAGCGAGCAGCATATTGTCGTTTTCTTCTGCAGAACTAAGGTCAATGTCTTCAATGTCCTCAGGCTCGGAGTGCTCATCGAGCACAACTGTGCTGGAGTCACTATCCACATCGGAACAAACTGCTTCAGGATCTTCTGGGGGACCAAGCTTAACTTCTTCAGTCAGTGCCACAGGCTCGGAGTCTTCGCCTAGGATAAATCTGCTGGAGTTACTGTCCTTGTTGGCGCAAACAGCACCGACAGCAGTGCAGTCTTTTTTGACCGAATCCAAAATGCCAGTGAAAAAAACAGGGCTGTGCCTGTAACTAAGATGCTGAGTTGTAGGAATATCAGCAACAATGTCATTCTTGTCATCCAAAGCTGGCAGATCAGGCACACTTTCAGCAGTGCCAGTACTGTTTGAGGCATGAGCTGTAAAGTCATCACATGATTGTGTCTTACGGGGGGCATCTTGACAGAACTCACTGTCTTCACAAGTTTGGAGAACACCAGGAGAGGAGGCTCTAGGGAAATGGGGTACATCCTGTAGAGAAGCATCTTTATGTCCCTTGTTGTTAACTAAGGGCAGGCCTGAATGGTTCTCGTAAGACTCAGTAGACCCAAGGAGAGGAGCTGAACCACCATCATTCATATTTCTGGAGCATTCTGGAGAATTTTTACAGTTTTGGGGGACCCCAACAAAGGAGGGAACGACAAGAGGAGGTGAAGCACACAGAAGACGATCCTCGTCACTGGTGTAATTAAAAAGTCTGAGTAGTGGCGAGCTTGCCTGTGCCTGGTTAACCATAAGACCTCGAGGAGTGGTGAGAGAAAGGGGACAGTCCAGCAGAGGATCTTCGTTGTTGGTCGCAGTTTTTGGCGAGTCTGGAGAATCACACAAAAGAAAATTCTCGTCACCATCCTCATTTGCAAGTCTGAACAATGGCGAGCTCTCATGTGCCTGAGTAGCCTGAAGGCCACTAGAAATGATGAGGGGCTCACAAATATCTAAAAGGGCATCCTCATTGCTGTCCTCGGCACTGGGAGAGTCCGGAGGATGGCAGAAAATCTGAGGTGCATCAAGAGGACGAATGGAGGGAGGATAATCATTGTCACCATCCTCGTTCACAATCCATGGAGAGGCTCGCGTGATCTTAGAAAGCTCTGGAGCCTCAAGATGAGAAGAACTGATGAAGGGAAGAGTACCATCCAGAGGTGCAGAACCTTCATCACTGTCTTTGTCAGCAGCTCTGACAAAGTCTAGCATATCAGACACACCATCGGCCCCATCATCTGCAGCAGGAAGGCCGACGCTCTGTTCAACTGAAGGGCTCGAAGAGGATTTAAAGAATGTTCCGTATTGTTCAATGAAACTATCCAGAGTGTCAAGAAGCGAGGAGTTGTCTTCATTCGTCTGGTCACCTGGGCTTGACCAGCCGTTTCCAGTAGCAATGGGCGTGCTGCACACCCTGCGAGCAACAGTCCTGCGGCTTGGTGTGCCAAAGGGAGCACTGAGGTCCAGCACCGAAGGATCCGGGTTCATGGCTGATGCCGGCACCACGTCGGATGCACCTGTTCCAACAGTGAGAAATAGAACTTCTTACTCCACTGTAAAGTGACAAATTCTGGCTGATCGAATTAGCTATAGGGATGTAGAAGCATGTCTGTAAAATATAAATGGGCATGTAAAGGCAATTGTTATGGGACAATTTGTTGCAAAAAAAAAGGCAAGGTTTGATGTACATAGCATATTATAACAAAAAAACGGAATAATTAAAGGGACAAACTTCCGCATACAAAAACAAAAGAGAGCGTCAAGAAACAAAGAAACATCTGCACACAAGCTTCAATCCGGAGGACAGAATAATAATTCACAAGCTGATTTGCATTTTATTTTATCTGCAATTTTTACTATATTGGGGGGCAATGCATTCCAGTCTGAAATGGCAAGCTGTAATGGGGAGTTGCAAAATCGGTTGGTATGACGGTTAGATAGGTGAATATGTGATGAGAATGGTTGAGCCTAGGAAAGATGCGATGAGAGGAAAATAGTCCCCACTCTTTGGGGGATGCATTAAGATAATAAATGTTGTGAACGAATGAAAGACGGGAAGCTGTACGCGTATACTATGTTTCACCCTATGATGTACCGCAGGAAAAGCTACAAGCGCGAGCTCCTTGCTCTGGGGCACATCTCGGCGGCACAAGCTCTCGTGACTTAAGAGCGGCTGCCAACGACATGAGCTCGTGCTTCTAGCCTTCGCTGCGGTACAACATAAGGTGAAACAAAGTATAGTATCTAATAAAGGTAAATTAGCTCCCAGTTTTAGTGCTGATAAGCTCATGTATGATGAATATCCTTTAAATATGAAGTGCACTCCCTTATTCTGTATAGTTTAGTGGTGAGGTAATCCTGGCATACTCAGGTTGTGATCTGACGAATGATTTAAGAGCAAGCAGTCAAGGCTAATTTTGAGGTGCTAAATGATATTGTTGCTCTAATGAACCCGAATGATCTACTTGCCTGGTTGACGATGTAATCAACGTGATCTTGCCAACAACGGCAGTTGAGTAAAAAATTAAGATATTTGTGTTTATTTCCTTTATCATTAATTATGTAGTTGGAAATAACTGTGGTTTTATGCGTCCATATACTAATTTAGTTTTATTTATGTTTATGTGAATCTGCCACTTCCTACGTTGCTAGGCAATATTGTTCAGGTCACTCCGCAGTATCACAGTATAATTTATGTTTACAATTTTTTCATACCAGGGGCGTAGCCGGGGGGGGGGGGGGGGGGGGGGGGGGGCTAATGGGGCTTCAGCTTCCTCCCCCCCCCCCCCCCCACCCAAAACCCAGCCGGCCCTATAATATACATATGCATTTTGACCCCCTCCTCCTCTCCATATCCCGTCATGGACATCCCAGCCACCTCAACCCCCCCCCCCCCCCCCCACAACTTGAAAAAGTTGGGGGGGGGGGGGGGGGGGGTTGTACACAGTTGTACATAATCGTCTGCTTAGAGCCTAATTGATGAAGATATGTTGATAGGGAGGTTGAGGGGGGTAGTAAGGTACTTAAGTGTCCAGCACTGTTCTCATAATAAAATCCCACTAGAGCGACAAATAGAAACAAACGACAGCGACAAGCCTGCGACCCATGCAGCATACTCGCGATAGTACATTTGGCAGGCGTTTAGTCGTTCGGTGCTCGTGAAGTAAGCACGCGTGTTTGCGAACCTGCCAAAGTTACCCTCGCGTGCATGATGCTCGTGTTTCAGCATAGCCTCCTTTATTCTACAAAGTCTGTGAAATCGCTAAAGACGAGGCTTGTCGCTGTCGATGTTTGTCGCTCTAGTGGGGCTCGCGCATTACACGAGTACGACTTCGTCGTAAGTGTAATGGAACATCCGTTCAGGAATAGTACAGCGAGGCAGGAGAGGCGAAATCCGATTATCGGTCATTATTTTTGCTTACAGTGCACAGATAAATAGGAAAACACAAGCATCAAAGCTCGATACCGTTCTTCAGTGTCACCATGGCGACAACACAAAAAAAGTACATGACAAAAAAAAAATTGCAGCGCTCTAATCGCAGGTAACAGAAACATGCACGCACTACATTTGAGGAACACGCAATAAATAGAACAATCAGGTTGCTGCCGGTTCACGAAAAAGCCTGTGTCTCCGAAGGAACACGCATTTTGGCGTCCGAGACGTGCCCTGGTTCAACCGCCACAGCTCGTTCAACGCGCGCTTACGCCATTCTAGTCAATTAACAGCGTGTTCATAAACAAAAAAAGAAAGCGTCTTACCTTGATAGACAGCCCGTCAAGTAAGGCACCACATGGAAATTAAGCACAGTGGACAACAGCGCATTGCGGCCTTACGAAAGCAGACGTAGCCAGCTAAACAAGAAGGAAACCGCGAATCTGCACACAATCTATCAGCCAATGGTTGCGCAAATCACCGTTGACTCGTTGAGTTTGAGAGTTGAGTTGCGCGCGGGGAGCTGCGCACGGGCACGCGCCGCGCGCAACAGGATATCTCCTCGTCTTTTTTATTTTTTTAGATTTTATTTTCCTTCGGTTTTGTTCTCTTTCTCTCTCTCTATTTCTCTCTCCCTGGCTCCACGTTCCAGGGTGTCCAGGGATCAGGCGGTAGGTAACTCTTTTTTTTGTGTGTGTGTTTTTTGTTGTTGCTTTGTATTTTGATTTTTTTTTTCCTTTCTTTCGACTCATTTTCGTGGGCGCCGAAGGTTTGTCACCTAGAGGCTCCTACTTTCAGGCTTGACCAGCTTGTTTGCTGGACTGCTTTGCCTTTGCCACGAGATCGTTTGTGCCCCTTGAAGGTCACGTTAAACGTTCTTTTCCTATGAAATTTTTGTTTTAGTACACACAGATAAAAAAAAAAAAGAGGTGAGGGGGCCTTTGGGGGAAAAGGGGGGGGGGGGGGGGATTGTGGTACTTTTGTTGTAGCCGTGCAAACAGGAAGATCGGGAACAGATTTTGGGACAGGACGAGGGACGCGACGACACTTGACACGCGGCAGCTTGGAAAGGGTAGGAAGAGCTGATGAGGATTGATGTGGTGGCGGCGACTTAAAAGAGGGAAGCGCCTTCTGGTGTCCACGGATGCCTTAGGGGATATTGCGCGTGCTGGCGGCAAGCTGCCACACGACTTTGTAGCGTGCATTCCGCATGGAGTTGCGTCCAGTGATATTTGGCGTCGGAAAAGCTTACGTTGCTGCTTGGAACGTTTTATTTCTTTGTCACGCGCTCTTTGGAGCGCGAGCTCAGAAGGAACTTTTTATTGCAAGAGGCGAAAGGTGTGCAGGAGAGCTGATTAGAAAACATAGTAGTTAATCTAAACTCTGAGAAATAAAATAACGAATAAGACGACACAAAATCTCAAGCGCAGCTGGCTTTATACGCGCTAGCAGTCCACAGGGAAGGGATAGGGAAGACAAGGTACGCGCCGCCGCAGAGTTGGAGCGGTTGACGTTACAAATTGTAGAAAGACCTATCAAGGGCTCTGAATGCGCTCCGAACAGAATTGTAATTCTGTACTTTCACAGTTTTTCGCATATATTTTAAAAACCTCGATTCACGAGTTTCAAGAAGTTTTAAAGAGGGATTTCCGGTGACGTAGTCTTGCATGTGTCAAGGAAGTCGTGTACAAAATTCTGCTCGATTGCGGCCAAACAAACCGCAGAACTAAAAAAAAAAAAGCGTTAAAAATGTTTTTTTTTTTTTTTTATCATCGGTATTTAAAATTTATTGCTGAATTTTATGCACTCTATTCTTTTGTGAGATTTTGTATTCGCTTTTGTTTTTGTTATCGAGAGGTGGGTGGAAAGGGGAAAAGTGCTGTCTTTCGTTTGGTTCACATAGCTGACATAGCCTTGACGGAGGTTACCATGACGGGTGGTTTGGCGGAGGACGTCTGCTGTTCGCACGGTAGTTGGTCTGCCTAGTTGAGTTCCCTCAAAACTTTGCGGCATCATTTCCTTTGTCTCCCCTCTTTCCTGTCCATGGGAACGGCCATATATTCCTTTTCG